AAGGGTATGATCTCGCGGTAGCATCCCTCCTACTGACTGCAAGACTCTATTCATGCAAGTTTCAGGGAGACTGTATTCGGCTTTTATGTTCATGAATTCAGTAACGGCGGATAGCTGAGAGTATCCCTCACAATCAGCATACAGAGGTTGGTCGGCAGCTTTTAGAACATCCTAAAATCTCTCAGCCAAACCTTCATCCACATAAGGTTGATAAAATGTCAGATTTTCATCCGCATCTTGTTGATACGAGGTTGAGGCTTCAGGGGGGTCGTTAGGTGGTTGTGGGGGGTTGAACTGAGACATCGGTACACCGTATGCGTCATATACCATTTGTTGGTCCCACCTCATTTCAGCACGGTCTCCCCACGCACTCATCTCTGGAGGGACGTAACGAGACGAACCTACCGTTTGTGGTATAACAGATGGATCCAAAGGTTCGCCGTGAGAAGTCCAATTATAATAATTGGGAACAAAACCGACCGCGTACAAATCATACCCAACTTCGTGTGGGTCTTTAAATTTGAGATTTTTACACTTTGAACATGGACATCTTATTTTATCACCACTCATATAAGCCGGATGTTCAAGTGCAAATTCAATAAATTCCCCAACTCCCTCGAGAAAATTTGATTGCATTCCATACAATACCGCATCTTTATCATACATCCAACTTCTATTTTGTTTATACATTATGCCTGAATATTATAATAAAAAAGTATACACGTTCAAATACTAACAATAATACTAACAAATTTTAAGTGAGTTATTTCACTAAATAATCAACTAACTAATTTTCACTAAATTAAATGAAATGCACACAATTCACAACAATAATTCACAAAATATAAGTAATTACCTAATACTTAAATTTAACTAATATTACAAAAAATTTAAGTAATTTATTAACACTACATTTAAATTAAACATACGTTTAACTAAATTTAACTAATTCATTTAGTTAAATTTAACTAAATTTAACTAGTTCATTCCGTCCTCTTTTAATGCATCACTACGTTTAAACCCACGTTTAGCTAACTAATATAACATAATTAACACATCACTAGCTACGTTTAAACCTACGTTTAGCTAACGAATTTTAATTAAATTATTTTTGTAAACCTACATTTAAACCTACACTAAATTATTACGTTAATGACATTTAATGTTATTAGTACTACACAATTAACAATTCCAATTCACTAAATTAAATAATATGACCAAATTAAACCCAATAATTTGAACATGTATATAAGGTCATTTCAATTAATAAATAATACACAATTACAATAACAATTCACAATACACTTAATTAACACATTACTAACGTACGTTTAACTAACTAATTTCACTTAACATAAAGTTTAACTAACTACGTTTAAAACTACGTTTATCTAACTAATTTTAATTAAATTATTTTATAAACCTAACAGTTTAACTAATTTTATGACATTACTACGCTTACAGTTGAATATGTTGTTAATTAATTAACAACATCACTAATTTAATAATTTTAATAATTTAAATTGAACCAGCTAATTCTAAATAAAAATAATAATTCAAATAACATACCTTAACTGCATAAATGGGGAAAATGATAGAAGACAGACTACATCCTTTGATCTTTCAAACAGATACTGTATATACTGGGAATGAATTCGTGTGGTTCTGTTGAATGAATGAGGTGCTCCTGCATGTATAAAAAATGTAGTCACGGACTTAGTCACGGATTTGTCCGTCACTAAGCAAAACCGTGTCCATTACGCGTCCGATCCGTGTTAATGACATGTAAATGACGTGTTAATCAAAGTAGTCACGGACATAGTCACGGCCATGTCCGTGACTAAATTTATCCGTACATAATACCGTTGAGGGAGGATTGATTTATGGAGATGAAAAATTATTTTTTAAATTTAGTCACGGCTGTAGTCACGGTTGTGGCCGTGACTATGTCGCCGGAGTAAAACAAGCCAGGTCGGAAAAACAAACGGGCAATCGGAGGATGTTAGTCACGGACAAATTTCCGTGACTACGCGTAGTCACGGCTGTAGTCACGGTCAAATCCGTGACTAATTTTTTTTTTGAATTTTCGTGAATAATCCGTGACTAGTCCGTGACTAGGCTAGTCACGGACAAAATCCGTGACTACGGTCCGTGACTAAACGAGTGTTTTTTTGTAGTGTATTCATTCTAATTTTTAGTTTATCTCTCATATACTAACATTTTTTATCTTTATTTCACTGTCAATAAATATTAAAAGTGCATATTATAATCATTACAAATTATAGTTATAATAATACTACGCCCAAGTTATTATTTTTGTAATTATTACTATTATAATATACTTTGTGATAAACATTGAAAATGGGATAGTCCTATATTAGAATATATATTTCAAAAAAGTATATATATATTTATTGCATATATATTTATTATATATAAAATATGACACAAAGGCTCGCGAACCGGCTCGCGAGCCACGAGCCTAAAATAAATAGGCTTGAATTGAGCTTGTTAAATATTCGAGTCGAGCCGAACTCGAGTCGAGCTTAATATGACCGAACTCGAGTCGAGCTTTTCCCGAGCGATCCACAAGCAGCTCGCGAGCGGCTTGGCTCATTTACACCCTTATTTTTATTTATACAGAGTATAAAATTATATGAAGCACGTCAAAACAATTAAAATCAATTAAAATAGTCATCTACTTTAACTTCGTTCCATTCAACCAATAAAAGTAAGATTTATAACCTAAAAAACATGTACCAAAGGGTCCTTAAAACTCAAAAACACATATTTTGATTATTGTTTTGTCACAAAATTACCATCTTCAGTGATTTTTTTTTTAAAAAAAGAATATTAATTTCAAAATTCATGAAAAATAGGACAACTACAAGCTCGTTTGGTGACTCCTTTTTTCAGCTTATCAAGCTCATCAACCAATTTTTCCACCAAACACGTAACTTTTGATTCTGCGTGTTGAATTGTATAATAATAAGAAAGAATAAGGTTGAAGTAACTTTTCTGATTGTATTGGCTGAAGTTACTGTAGAGGATCATTTTAGCAATTTTAGTATATATTTTATTTTATTTTATTTATTAATAGCAAGTATTTTAAATATAATTTTCTCATAAATAAGCAGAATCAGCTAATACAGTCACTTCAAGCATAACATCATAAATTTCAGCAAAATCGATCAATTCAACCAATTTCAGTGTTATCAAACGAGCTCTAAGAGACAATTTGATGACACAATATGTATATCCGGTAACATAAAAATTAACTTAATCAACTGATCAAATATGTAAGAGATAGTTCAGAAAAAGAAAACGTAAATGGATTGAAGCGATTAAATAAGATGAAGAGCTGAATATAATTAATTACGGAAAAAATGGATTGAAAATACATCTCTTTGGTAAATTCATCAAATATAGTAAAAGAAAAAGTAACTCCAATATGACTTATTTTGACCATAACACAATTCAAACTACAAAACCAAAACTCGCTACAAAACAAATGTTACAAAAAAGGTTCTAAAAATAATAAATTTTGACTCAAGTGTGTGAGTTTGTTGCATTATGAAAAACTTATATTTAAAATGTATTTTATTAATATATCAAATTAAATTATATAAAAATTGCTAAATAGGCATTTTAAACAAATTCAACCAGTTCATTTAGAAAAGAAATTTTATATGCTTACTTTATTAATTTTGGTTGTTGTACAATTCAGCAAGCAAAATTAAAAATTACTCATTTTATCCCAAAATAATGCTCATGTATTTTCTAATTGGGTGTTCAAAAATGATAGTCCTAATTCTGTTTTTCAGTAAAGAAATTAAAGTAGATTACTCCCTTCGTTCTCTAATACTTGTCCCTTTTTCCATTTTGGAATGTTCTCTATTAATTGTCTCTCTTTCTATATTTGGTAAGTTTTTTCAATAAATATACTCATTTACCCTCATTCTCTTTCCTACTTTTTCATTTTAACACAACTCATTACACCTTTTCCACTACCCCTATTATCTTTGTCTTAAAACTTGTGCCAAACCCTATAAGGACATCTAATAGAGAAGGGAGGGAGTAGGAAGTATTATTTATACTTTTTGTAAATAGTAATAATAAAGGAATATATAGTGCAGAGTACAATAATGCAACGGTGAATGAAACATTCTACCACCTTTGGTAATGTTTGAACTTTGAACTCAAAAAGTACAAGATTACCATTTTGGAACCAAGGAAGTCCATGTTTTATAAACATATTCACTGATAATGTGTATTCACCAGGTGTGCAATTATTAAGAAAAAAAGTTTATACCATTGCTATTAATTTGATAAAATTAATAGTATTTCTTAAGAATATAGAAAACCACACAAATTAAATATTATTTAATTTAACATGAGACAATTTAAATAGAATAGACGGGTTAGAGGTTTTTTACTTTCTAATGAGGTTCGACTGGATGATAAATGAAAACACACAGTTCTCTAATAAGCATTATTTAACTTGATATGAGACAACTTTTTTGAAATAGACAGGATTAGTGAGATTTATGATGTTTTCTTTGAGACTGAAATTTGCTGGTCTGATCTGATCTAGTCTGTTGAAGTCTGATCTGGTCTGGTCTGAACTGGTCTAGTCTGGTAACGTCTGGTCTCTGTGTATTTTATAACTATGAAAATCTGGTCTAGTCTGGTATGTTTAAGTCTGATCTGGGACTGAAAACAGTCCAAAAGAAAACATCCTTAATAACAAACCAATCGGCCCTCCTATATTTGTTTAATTTGCTAAACATTGATATTTAATTTGAACGCATTTTAAATAAGGTAGTTAAAGTAAATAAGGCAGTTAAAGGGCATAGTAAGGAGTTACTAAAACAAATGATTTCATAGATATGTTTGGTAAAATATGTTTATAAATTTCCTTATAACTTTTACTACCTCTGTCCCGGTGGACTTTGCCAAGTGCAAAGTAGATGACAAATAAGAATAATAAAAATTGTGTGGTTGAAATTTGTGCAGAAGGGAGAAAAATGTGCAGAACTACAAACTAGTTGCTTTAATAAGAAAGTGACAAGCTTTTGGGACAACCAAAAATGGAAAGTTGACAAAGTGCAATGGAACGGAGGGAGTAAATTTTAGCAAGCATGAACTTACACTATGCAGAGTCGAGAGATCATCAAAATAGGACTATCAACAAATCCAGTTCCAAACTTCACTCGAGAATTTCGTAATAATTTAGGTATCATCATCATTAATACCCAAACTAATAGACTTAAAATAAGCACTGTCACAAACTAGTCATCCATAGTTTTTTAAAAATAAAAGAACGTTAGGGTAGCGGCAATAATTTACATCTGAAGATCATCTCTTCCCCCCGCATATCATAAACAGCTCAGAACAGAGGAAACCAGAGAAAGAGGTGCAAAGCTAATCATCCTACCATGTCAAACTCAGGGACACATGGGTCATTCATTAACACAGCAACAGAAGTTTTTTATATGGTCAGGGCCCCCAACCATAACCCCCAGCCCCAACCACCCTATCCATACATTAATTGCAAAAAATAAAACTATGGTAAGCTGTTACTACTATTACATCTTGGGTAACACCCTGTTTTCCCCTCTTTCCTGTATCTAAAAATTTTAAGAACGGGCAAAATGACTGGATCACCCCTGGGTAGTGCAAAGGTCAGACTTTCCCGGCGGACTCGAACGGCCGGTTAGGCGCCCACAGATTGAACGGCATCTGTCGGGATTGCTGGACTGGATTCATCGCGGCAGTTGGCGCGGTGGCGACGCGCTCACACGACGGGCACATGGTGAGCGTGGTCGGCGGCGTCATTTGCATGTAGAACTGCGGGGAAAGCTTGAGCGCCCGCAGTTCTTGGACTTCCTTCTGCAATCTCCGATTCTCCTCGGTCAGATTCTCGCAGCATCTCTTCAAGAATTCGCAGTCGACTTCGGTTTGCTTCAATTTTGTCCTGAAAATGGAATCAAGTAGTTAGTTACCGGCCGCCGGGAAGAATCGTTTACCTGAAAATCCATGGGTATTTTGGGAAATAACTCACCTTGCCCTTCTGTTCTGGAACCAGACCTCCACCTGCCTAGGCTTCAGCCCCAGCCTCTTGGCCAATGCTAGCTTTTGCTTCTGGAGAAGAAGAAAAAACAGAAATGGCCACTGGTTAGTAAAATGACTCTAATACCCCCACCTGAACATTAAACATGAACGGATGTTTTACTTACAGGATTGAGGGTGTTATGTTCCTTGAAGCTGTCTTCAAGAATGGCGGACTGGTCTTTGCTCAGGCGGAGCTTCTTTCGAGAAGTTTCGCCATCCTCCTCGTCGCTGGCGCCACGGGAGCACGCTCTCTCGCCATCGTTCTCTTCCGGGTTCATCATCATCGCCTCCATCTCGCTCCTCTTGTTCCCGCTCACGCTCGAGAGCGTGCTGTTCGGCGACGAAACTCCGGCGTCCTCGTCGGCGTCGGCAGCCGCCGGCGCTCTGTTCACATCGATTCCTTTCAAAAGCGCTCTGCATGCTTCATCGTTCCGATCTGCAGATGCATAGACACATGATTAAAATCCCATTTTCATTTCACTTTTGTTTTTCATTTTCCAAACATACTCAAAAAAAAAAGTTCAGATCAGCCGGAAAGGTGGAGGTAAAAGTTACCAAGTCAGTAAAGACTCCACCTTTTTCTTTCTTTTTTTCTTTTTTAGAACGAAGCCAAGCAGATCTGAATGAGGCAAGAAATTAACACTGGGTTACTACAAACCTTGGGAAGGAAACGATTCAGGCCAGGGAGATTTGTGGAAGAGAGTGAAAGGATGGGAAGAAGGAAACTGGGTGAGGTGCGTTAATGGCGTCTTCATCGTCTGCTGTGCAGCTGACTTTATATTTCCAGGAAAGCTCAAACTCAAGCTCAGACCCAGATCTTCTTTTCCTGCCATGGTTCTTTTCTCTTGGTAAAAGTGGCAAAAATTAAGCACTTGTTAATGTTCTCCTGGCTTGCTGTGATTGAAGGTTCTGGGTATGAAATGAAGTTTCAGAGAGAGAGGAGATTGAAGATGATTGAGGAGGAAAGGAAGGTAGGGGGGTGTTATATAGATAGTAGGAAGGAGTGTGGTGGGTGTGAAGGTTGTTTTGGTCTGAGGTCAATCATGGACAAGGGAGTGTCAGGGATACCAATAATCACAATCATAGCTTTTGCCTCCCCAAAAAATATTTTACTGCCCTTTCATATCCTGATATTTCAATTCTTCTTTTTGTTTTGGTCCCCACTTGCCCATACAGCCTTTAATTAAATAATAATATGAGCAATAGTGGTGGTATTTAAGATGTTGGACTCCCCTACTTTATTCCATTCAAGACGTGCATGCATCATCATTATTGTGACGTTTGACCCGGTTAATCACCCTTTTCAGTCATGCTTAATGAAGTTTTTATTACCCACATTCCTTTTAATCACACTTTTTAATCACCCGGTTATTATGGAGCTTAACATGTTGTATGATGAAAACGGTACAGTGAGAGTTTAAGATGGAAAAATAAACAGTAGAGAATGAAAATAAAAGGTAAAAACATTTATATATTTGTATGGGGTATATTGGTCTCATCTCTCAATCCACGGTAGATCAAGGGTGGAGACAGGGGAGCTGGCGGTAACCTCCACCCCTGCAAGAAAAAATTGTGATATACTGCGTATATATATGTAAAAAATATTTATGAGTGGTAAAAGATATAGTGAAAATTTAAGTTTTGATCCCTACTAAATAAATTCCTTAAACTCCGGCCTCAGTAACCTGTCAATCCTAGCTCCGCTACTGCGGTAGATCTCATACTAAGACATTTGGACTGGTCTAATATTGAATCTATTATTAAAAATAAAAGATTCAATATTCATTTCAATTCGGTATGTTTGATGATTATATGGGGGAGTATGTGATAAGTGGAAACAATTTAAGTGCATGATATTGCCCACTTAAAATCTTCTTCTGATATGTGGTAAACATGTCAAGTGAATTTGGACGCTTTTTTGAAAGAATGATTTGAGCAACTTGGGTTTACTTCTCTCCTGGGTTTGAGTTTGGTTCTTATTAGTACCTTAAGTTTTGGAAAAAATGAATTGTTACACATTTTTCATTTTTGTCTGTATATACACACCTAATAGAATCAAAACTTGGATAATCATAAACATACATTACCAAATGAGTTTTATATAAAACTTGGAAAAAAAATCATATTAATACCGTCGTACGGAGTATAATACACATATGTATATCAGTGCTAGCTAGACTAAAGTTAAACAGATTGAATCAGATTAAATCAAATTAGAAAAGCAAAAATTGATGGATGAATCTAAGGGTCCTTATACAAATATTTATAATTTATTTCTGGTTCTCATCCAAATTTGATGTGTTAACTTCACATTTCTATGAATTCAGTGCACATGATATTACGTAGTACGGAGTATATTATAAGCCATCTACTTCAAACCATGAACAAGAACTACTCTTAATGAGTTATTAACGGGACACAGAGGGTGGATCCTCACCATTTATAGGACCGGGACAAAAAGGACAAATAGAATAGGCCCTTAACTAAATATTCGTCCTAAGAATGAATTACAAAAATTTCATTGTCAAAAATAAAAATCATTACAGTAAATATTTTTTCCCATAGAACTACTGGTACCCTAAGCCATACAAAACAAATTTTTAGGCATTCTTAGAAGCAAAATTGTCAATAATACTAAAAAAAATTTAATTCTCGGCTTATGTGAGGAAGGTAGAAAGTCATATGATTGTGTTTCGTGTGTAGTTATGTCGTTGTGCCTAAGGATGGTTTCTTTTGGACTGCTTTAATCCCAAATCAGACCAAATCAAATCAGACCAAACCGAATCAAACCAGACCAGCAAATCTTAGTCCATAGATATGAAGGTTGAAGGTTATCTTTTCCGGAGTGCTATTCTTTATAAATGATAAAGCTTTGACATCGTTATTTAACCCAAACATCTTTGTAAATGATAAAGCTTTCATTGATAGATAAATTATGATTAAGGGAGTGTTTGACCATTTTACATAACTACAAACACATTGGAGATCAATTAATCCAAGAACAATCTACGATATGGTGAGAAGTATATACGAACTAGGAAGATGATGGTTGAATTAACTATATCATGATAACAACAACAAAAGCGTTCCTACAACAAAAGGTTAAAGGGAATCCAAACAATGAAATTCAAACAAGTAAGGTTCAAGTATTGTAAATGTCACACATGGAAATATATCGAGTATATTTATTTAAATTATATGACAGAACCATTTATTAAGGTTCGATATCCGTGGAAATTATAACTATGACGACATTGGGTATGTTTGGCGCAACTGGTTGAAAAGATACTTTTGTGAGCTTTTTAATAATTGTTAGTTTTTCGTAACTAAAAAGATCTTAAAAAGAAAAGGTGGTAGCTGTCTGGTAAAAAAGGTGACTGTTTGATTTAGTTCGATTTGGTATACAAGCTGTTATGGCTAACTAGTACTAAAATTCATGGGCTTTTTTCATATGCTACTCTCTCTAGCATCTCAAAAAAGATCTTTTAATTTTGAGAAAATGGAAACTAATAATCAAACCTTTTAGCGGTCTTCTTTCAATAATCCCACTTTTTGATTATTCATGAATAATCCAACCTTTGCACCTCATCTTCATTCACTAGTCCCTGACCGGTTGATGACTTGTTATTCCAAGCTATTTTCTTATCTTTGCAAATCATTATACCATAAATCTCATCTTTCACAAAGATAATATTTTGCAAAGATAAGAAAATAACTTGGAATAGTAGGTCATTAACCGATCAGGGACCAACGAATGAAGATGAGGTGCAAAGGTTGGATTATTCATGAATAATCAAAAGGTGGGATTATTGAAAGAAGAACGCTAAAAGGTTGGATTATTAGTTTCCATTTTCCCTTTAATTTTTGAAAAACTCTTAAAAATTGTCATGTCAAACATATAACTAGAAAGGTTTAAAGACTTATTGAACAATACAAAAGCTAGAAGGCAGAGACTTATGCCCGCCAAACATAGCCATTGTCAAACTCGTGATTTTTTTTTATTCAAATCAAGAAATTAGTAAAAATGTGAAAGTAACATTTATATCCATGGGAAAAGTAAAAAACGTAAACTAATAATCCAAACTATTTTAGTTTATTTTCTTAAGTCTGTTTGATAAGCCTCTTTTTCGATTTCCAGTGAACTTTTTCGCAAAGCGTATAAAATTTTAATTTTACTTAGGTGATTTATGTAATACTCAAAATAAGTAAAGTTGGAGTTGCTTATCTGACTGAATTGACTGAAGTTATTGTATAGAATCTATACAAAAATAAGTATACAAAAATTAGTTTATATATACAAAAATTAAGCTATTAATAAAATATATTAGTATTTTTTATATAATTTTTTCATAATTCATCAGAATAAGTTGAACCATTTATTTCAGCCATCTTCTTGAGTATTACCAAATGGACTCTAAAACGTTGCAATTCTCTTATTTAGTCCTATTCAAGGTTTTTAATTTTTTCTGAAACCTAAAATTAGGGAACAAATATTCATATACTCCGTATATTATAAAAATATTATAATATTATACGGAGTAACATTATATGTTTAATAAAATATGGAGTATTTTTAAAAAAATTAGGGTTCGCCCTCGCGTGCATACTAAATCTTAGAGTTGACCTTAACACAAACGAACCAAACTCATGTATAGATTATTAGATTGAGGTAATCGATAAAAGCAAATATTCTTTCCATCTGCATCGAGAAAATTACAGTAGTAAATAGTGCTATATTCGATCTTTGAGTACTTAAATTACGAAGATGATGTCGGTTAGGAGTTGAGATTCAGAATCATGCTTTGAATTATTCTTGGATATCTCGTGCAGTTGATTTTTGCCCATTGGTGTGTAGGAAATAAGTTGGGCAAAAAAGGAATGAATGGCTAACATGTAAAGTGATAAAGTAAAAAAGAACTTTTCACAGCAAAAAAGAGTAGAAGAAAACAAACTAAAGGGGTAAAAAAGAAGAAAAAAATGTTTACTTGGTGGACAGTCAACAGTCAAGGGAAGCAATGATGAGTAGCACCACAACACAACATGCTCGCCGAACGTAAGCCAGTCATGTGGCTTTGCTTTGTAGGCGATGGAGATGCATGTCAAAGTGAAAAGCTTTTCCACAGTTTTAAAGTACGACTTCAATGCCAAATTCAGCCTCTCTAATCACATGAATAATTATTATTTTTAAGCGTTGTGATGGTAATTAGTGTGCATTAATGATTTACGGAGCAATTTACTAATACATATGGAGCACTTTAAGTGACATTGTTTTTCAACTTATTAGACTTATCAATCATCTTTTTCACCAAACACATAACTTTTGATTTCATACGCTGAGTTGTGTAATAATAAGAAAAAGTGAGGTTGAAGTTACTTTTCTGACCGTATTGGCAGAAGTTACTGTAGAGGATCATTTTAACAATTTTTCATGTAATTTTTTCTTTATTTTATTAAGAGAAAAGGTTCAAATAATGTCTTGTACTATTATGAAATCGTCACATAATGTCATGTACTCAATAAACTATCATATAAATGCGTCTACTTGTAAAAATCAATCAAATAAGTTCTAACGACCTATTTACTACCTCCTAATCCTGATTTTAGTGTTCTTGAAACTAGGGGTGGGCGCGGTCCGGAACGGTCCGGTAAATTAGTAAAACCCGTAATGTATCCGTGAGGTTTTTAACGGTCCGGTACGGTCCGGTTTCAAGGATGGAACCGTTCGGTACCATGTTATTTCGGAACGGTACAAACGGTACGGTACAATGCCAAATACATGCTAAAGTTTTTGAAAAATCATCAAATAGTGCAACACAACTAAGAAAGAGTATATCAAACCGATGATGCACGAGATAAATTTCATCCTTAATTTACTTAGTTTATGTTAAAAATATAAAAAAGAATATCATCAAATTGTTGAATATAATAGAAATCATCAACGTTATTCTTCTTCATTTTAGGTTAAATACTACTCTGTAGTTCTAA